CCATTTGGCAGAACATTCATTCTCAGTATGCACATTTGTGGAGGGTGGGGAGGCGAGAAAGAGAGACAGACATACAGACAGAGGCCCGGCGAGCTCCATGGATTGCCGCCCAGTGAGTTCGCGGCGGCAGTCCGTGGAGCTCGCCAGGTCTCTCTCTCTCTCTCTCTCTCTCTCTCTCTCTCTCTCTCTCTCTCTCTCTCTCTCCCCCTAGACCTCAAGAAGCTAGTGGAGAAAAGGAAGGTTTCAGTGAAGAGATAACATGCGACTTGATCTTCTTCTTTTCCTTTTTTTTTTTTTTTTTTTTCCCTTGGACAACTTGAAGTGGAGGGGGTCCCTCTGCAGACTGTGGCTTATGGGTACCTGACTGTGTATATCAAGCAAGCAAGAATCAGAACACTGGKGGACTGACCAATTTTTACTACTAAGTGATTGTGTGCATTACTTTGTGTGCATCTTCCCACATCCGCTGGATTGCGCGTGTGAACTTACCCGGAGATCTACTTACTGGGCCGAGTGAGCACGTTAGAGCGTTCTATGTCTTTACCTTTTCACTTGTAGTATCTTCGGTGACCGACGTGTTGTTGTTGTCAGCCGCGGGGGAGACTCTCCTTCCGCGCATGACGAGGGATTCGGCGTRGCACGATGTCTTCACAAGGGCATTATGACCGGAACGAGCGTGACCGGGAGCGCGGCGAGTGGGACCGCGGGAGAAGGGACTGTGACTCTACTGACGAGCATGGAGAACGAAGGTCGTACCGGCCTCCAACATGCTTTGCATGTAATGAAGTGGGACACTACGCCAATCAGTGTCCGAACAGGAGCAAACGCTACTCCAACGTGAGACCAACAACTTCGTCTGACTCACGGCGAGCCAGGTCCCCTAGGAGGTACGAACCAAGGTCACGCGAACCATCTCCCACCTTGGATCCGCAAATCAGGAGCACCATCGAGAAGCTCGGCAAGAGTGTCGCTGTTATGGAGGAGCACTACGCCACGGAGCGTGAAAAACGAGAGCAGAAAGCACGTAAGAAGTTGGAGAAGGAAGAAGCTCAACGACGTGAGGCAGAGGAAGCAGCTCGTTTGGAGGAGGAACGCATCACCGCGGAAAAGAAGGCTAGGAAACGGAAGCAGAAATTGATACTGGAGGATCAGCGGCGTGCGGAGATGCAGAAGGATCTACAGATCCAGCTTGTGCATGTAGGCGACTTGGAGGATCGCCTCATTCAACGACTGAATCAAGCTGTGGCGAGGCCATCAAAGCTGGACCGTGGCAAGAAGAAGGTGTCATACTGCTCGGATGTTGACGAGTCTGCCTCTAGCCAGGGATATGCTAGTGATACGAGTGTTACACAGGAGCTCGGCGCCTGTGTTGATCGCCTGAAGATTTCGAAGAAGCGGAAACGTGGCCCTGAGCCCGTATTTGAAGACCCGAGCCCGCCAATGGGGCTGTCCGCCAAGTGCACCCCGAAGCGGGGTATCTTGAAGCCAGTCAAGTTGACTGGRCGATTGACTCGCTCGAAGTCCAAGAAAGGTGGAGGAGGACTCACCCCGACATCAGCCTCTAAGAAGATCGCTACTCCTTTGTCCAAGCGGCGCACCCCGTCGAAGAAGAAGAATCCGAGCTTCACGCCGCTCTCGAAAGCTTCCCTAGAGCGCCTGTGATATCGGGACAACGTTCTTCGGGAGCTGAAGGACCTTGATGCCACGGAGCTGCAACGGATTTGTCGAGAGGAGGACATCCATTATGATAAGAAGATTGAAGCAATTTTGATATCGCGGATCACCGAACCGAGCGAGCCTTTGCCAGTGCACTGGCCAGAGTCGAACTTGAACGGATCRCGATCTCCGACGATACGAACGCCGAGCAGGAGGATGCACCTGCCACCGATGTGTGAACTCTGGAAGGTTTGCCGCTTTCTTTCTCATCTCCGGTGTGAGTCCACGAAAGTAGACAAATGCGTTGAGAAACTGCTCGGTCTTACCTTTCTTTTGCTTGCAGTCCAGAAGCAGATACGTTGGGCTAATAAATTCGTTGACTGTTGGTTGAATCTGTATGACCGCCATGGTTTGGATTTCTTGGATCTTTCAGATTGCGTGTATGACGGAATCTCTCCGTTTTGTAAATTGTTTTACATTGGGAAATCCTCACGGGATGTGGACACACGATGGCGCGAGCATATGTATGCCTGTCGTAATCGTAAACCCTCGCACTTTCACCGTTGGTTAGGTAATTTCGGTTCAGGTAATTACCTACTGATTCCCGTCGACATCCTCGTGGGAAATGAGTTGGAGAAGTTGGAGCGCACGTATATTAAACTCTGGTCCCCATTCCTTAACACTAGCGGGTGCGCAAAAACGGGCACTAAGCTTAGTCGTAGTAAGGTTGGTAAGCACGAGCGTGCACGGGGAAGAAGGACTACCAACTCCAACTGTGACTCTTGGATACCTATCCGTTTCCTCATAACTACCGCTTCTGAATGGATGGTTGATTTCTTCGCCTTCTTTGATAATATTCTACTATCAGGTAATACCACAGTCGACTTTTGTATCCAGCCAGGTAATATCTGGCAGCCCAGYTGGGGTAAGCTTGTCAAAGCTTTTGGTGGTACTAAGATTATACATGCTTCTGGAACCTTCTGTTTGAGGGATTGTAAATCGCTGTTGCAATCGGGAGGTAGTTTTTCGGTTCTACATGTCTGCAAATGGTCAGCGCGTTGTGGTTATCTCAAAAAGATCTTAATCGGTATCCTCCGAAATCCTCGGCAAATCTCTGTATTGCGTAACTGGGGCATGGGATCCTTTTTACGTATATACCAAGTGATCAAGGATTTTTCGAGGAAATCGACTCGCAAGTATCTTCGTAGACTTTTCTCACGCTGCTTTCAGGATCACTTCGGCCTAAGTCTTAATGTTGATTTGGTTTTTCATATTCCTTTTGATGACCGTATTATCATTTCTGAAGTACGTAAAGTGGTTAACGACGATATCATGTTACAAAACTTGCCGAAGTGTTTTTTGTACCGAGCACGGAGGAAGGTTCGGATAGTTGGGACAAAAAAAACATCTATGGCCGATTTATTGCACAACATGCGTAGTCTCTCGACACGCAGTGTGCTGACTTGCACTTGCGCAGGTCTTGACCTCCCACGCTCGGGAAATCATGTCTTGTTTTGGCTAAGCGACCTCGGCGGGATTCACCCCCTGTTGAGCAACGCTAACAACATGCCTTGTGCACGTATTGACGATCGCGTACCCTCMTTTCGTGAGGAACTGCGCTCTGGTTTTGCCAATTGGTATAATTGCGTCGATGATTCGCCTTACTTCAGTAATGAAGTACCGTCAACCTGTTTTTCCTCTGCGTCTAGCAATAAGCATTGCCTTTTCTTGCACGAAGTGCTTGAGATCAAGCACCGCTTTGAGGGATTGGTCCTTACTGCTGTGGATCGTAATGCTGGTGAAACAGTGGTTATGTGTCCTCTGATCTATTACCAAGCGTTGATGGATACCTATGTACTGAATCCTGGATATCATATCATGGATTGCCAGGAGAGCCTTGTGCTSCGGGAATTTCGAGAGGATGTGACTTTGGCAGGCTTGAAATCCTTTGTTAGGTGGGACACTCAGGGGAAGTTTGGGGCAGCTTACATCTTGCCCAAACACAAAGATTTGAATCCCTACCGTCCTATTTGCCCCTCATTCAGTGAGCCGACGGCTCGTACGGGACGTGTCGTTTCTAAGGCGTGAACTACTTGCTTAGCACAATTCCGAAGCACTGGCACTTTAACCTGCCAGCTGTGTCGGACTTGACAGCGAAGCTAGGCTCAGCGAATGCGAAGTTTCTCCGTCTTGGAGGGAACCGTGTTATTCGATTGTATTCCTTCGATATCAAGGATATGTTCACGAAACTTCCTCACGCTGATATCCGCCGAGCTGTTGACTGGCTCATACAGTACCATCTTGATAGAGGCCACGTATTCGTCAGGGTCAATACGATGGGAAAAGGGGCGAGTTTCGGTCTGACTACGGGAGGGGACCATTGGAGAAAACTTACCCTTGACGATATCCGTGCCTTCATCTTCCTTGAGCTGAATCACACCTACTTTCATGCTACGGGTGTTTTGTTGAAGCAGGAGGTGGGAATACCCATGGGAAAAAGTACTAGCCCTCCCCTAGCATGCATCGTATGTGTTTTTTCTGAGTACAACTTTATCTGTGGTATTGGTAAGGCCGCTCGTTGCCTTCTTGCTACGCGCCTGATGGATGACGTCTTGTTGGTTACGTCCACTCGCGAGGGAGATGATGCACTATTGGAAGCTTTTCGGACCCGCTATCCGAGTGAYCTACAGCTCAAAAGAACGGATGATGGTACTGGGAATCTGGATTTTCTTGGTTGCCAAGTGCACGTCACACAGTCCTTCCGTATATCGGCAGTGTTCAGATTTCAAGGAATGAGGCACGACTGCTGGAATCGGACCGCCTGRAATTTTTGAATGGCCAATCCTATCTCTCCTCGGGCTGTAAGCGACAAAAGAGTGCCATCATCAGTGGATACCTCCACAGGATCGATCAAAATACCTCCATTCGCCTGGCAATATCAGACAGAGTGCGCGCCTTGCGACGCGAGATCTCTTTGAAGGACTTTCCTGACGCATTCTTCAAGCAGGTAGTCCTGCTCACGAGGTTTCTTTTTCTCTTTCTTTTTCTTCTGTTTTAATTTGGCTTTGTGTGGACAGGGAATCCTGTAGGATCAATCGCTTTTCTGAAGCCCCTCCTCCGGACACCCTCGATTGGGTTTTGCTTTTAATAGGGAGTTTTTGCGCATGTTATTGTATGTGCCTTGCTTGTTTTTTGAAATTTGGACAGGGCTTCACATCTTGCCAGTCTGTTAATTGTTTGTTGTGTTTCTAGTAGCCCCTTACGTTGGTTTGGGCCTTCGAACCCGCGGTATCAGATAATTGCGACCCCAATTTGTGGGAACCTACCAGAGCCTTCTGTAATACGGTGACCGGTGGGATTTCGAGATATCTYTGTCCCCGGCGATCCGCAGGCCTTGCCGCGGACGGTCTAGGGAGACTCTAAGTGTGTTTTCCGTAGGAACTTCGCGATGTTGATGCCTGACCACGGGTAGTATAAGTAGATTGTTGACGATACTCTCAACCTTCTGGGTTGGCCAACGGACGCTAGTCCGG